TTCCAATTATATGGGCACTATTGTAAGCTTCTTTATTTTTCTGCTGAGCGAAGAGTTCGTTTATGGTTTTTTTTTTTTTTTAATCTGAATTATAGGTAAGCACTAAATTGATGATTAATTAAGAAAAGGTCATTAAAGTGATTTAAATTGTAATTAGATCTGAGAAAGTTTTTGTAAGTAAACTTTTTAAAAACTTGTTAATTTTTTTTTTTTTTGTAATTACAGCAAACAGTCATGAAAGAAGCAGCGGATGGAGGAATAATTGCAATTCGTGGAGCACTTTAACTTTTTTGTCATTTAATAAATTGGTCGCTTTGTCTCTTGGTCTCTTTTTTTATTTTTATTTTATTACTTTTCTGAAATTCCACAGGAAAAAAGTTTTGATTAATTAATATTGTTATGTTGTTGTTGGTGAGCAATAATAATCCACTATAACAAAACCTATTCCTTTACTCTTTTTATATGCGTGTTAGGTTTAGTATTTAGTTATTTACATATTCATTTTCAATGTTAAATCGAAAAATTATGTACCAAAATACGGATATCTTACCTGTCAGAAAATATATGTCTTTTTTCATAACAAATATCGAACTAAAAAAGACCCACAATTTTTAAAGAATCTGAAAACTCGCCACTATTCAAAATTCACTTTAATACTACATAAGAAAAACAGTGTAAAAGAGAAAAATATATAACAAAAATTAACTCACTAATTAGCATGCTAGTAACTTTTGAAAATTTAATGTTTAATTTGGTAAAAGAAATAGATTTTTCTATCATATACTAATACTTGTATACATGTTAGGTTTATTAATCAAGAAATTTTAAACCGAAACTCATACATATTTTCGTCGAAAAACATTTGCTCAATCTTTGAAAAGCATGAGAATTCACTAATAGAACTCGCTACACATATCATTGCTTACACATATCATTTTATATCCATACTAATTGTCTATGTGGTCTGAAGTTTTTGGGTTGCCTAAAGTTTATACCCATCATGCATA